CCTTTTTGGGCGCCATGTTTCTGCCGTTCGAAGGGCCATGGGCTTCAGCACTCCTGGGTCGAGGCAGTAAAGGAAAGTTCGAGTGCTCGAACTTTGCTGCAGAAGCAGGCAGGCACGTGAAAGTGGCAGCAAGCTGGCAGGTGCTGGAAGGGAGTGTCCTGGCCCTTCTAAACCCTACACCCTAAACCCGAAACCCTAAAGCACCTTGCCCGCGCGAGCGAACCTCGCTGCGAGCCAGCCTAAACACACTCGCGCAGTATTTTTGGGCCTGACAGTTGCGTGCTGCGTGCTTTCAGTGCTCAGCAAGGCGTCCATTCGCGCTGGACTGCTGCAGGGAAACGGTGTTTGTCAGGCCCTCCGCACTTTGCAGAAGCTGCCTGGAACTGGCGTGCCACTCAGAGCTGTTGCAGCTCTTGCAAGCTGGGCGCACCGAAGGCCTTCTCAGGTCTTGCTCCAAGAAGGCCTGCTTGCGCTTGGACTCAAGGCAGCTGCAGGCAATAGCAAGCAGGCGCGGCGAAGTTTTACTGCAGGCTTCAAGGTCCGCGCAAAGGAACCCGCAGCGGATTTCTTAGAGCAGGCGAAAGCATGCTTGGCAGGATGGGCATGCTTGCGGACGCAGGCGTCTGAAGCAAGCATGCTTGCGGCGCGGCATGGCTCAGCAGGCTTCGCTTCAAGGCACTACTCTGCAAACAGATCTGGAGACGCTGCAGGCAATGCAAGCTGCAGTCTGCCCCTGAACCCTAAACTCTAAACCCTAAACCCTAAACCCGGTGCAGGCAATGCAAGCATGCAGTTGCAGCCTGGCAGGGCTGCTGTGCAATGCAGGCGGTACGCGCGCAGCAGCACTTACTTTTGCTGCGAGGCTTCCGCGCTATGCGGTGCAGAGCAACATGCAGGAATTAAGCTTCTTTTGAAGAAAAGAACACGCAAAAGACTGCGCAAGCAGATTCGTACTCTCAGTTCTGCTACTTCTACTGCTTAATTGGTTATGGCGTTGTGGAAACTGTCAGGAAGAGAGATCTGCTCGCTCTGTGCTACTGCTGGCTTTACCCCTCCAGCACCCTCAGCGTGCGTTAATTACTTCCTCCACTGTGAAACAGACCACACGGAAGCTGGCAGAAACAGGCATCTTCGGGGAGGCCAGTTGCATTAGCAGTAAGCCTACAGCCTTGGCTGTCAGGTAAGGTCTCCGTTCCCAGAAGGGCCTGCTTCACGCCTCCCTAAGCTGGCTTGACCCCTCCAGCAACTTTGTTCTAGAAAACTCTACTGGAAAGGCTCCGGCGCCGGTTTTTGTCCGTGCAGGCAAAAGGCCGTCTCGTTAAAACTTGAAAGCCTGGGCTCAAACCTATATTCTCAACCCTAAACCGCTTCCCTAAACCTTAAACCCTAAACCTTAAACCCTAAACCCGAGACTTGGCCTTTAGCCCGCTGAGTTTTTTTTTCAACTAGCTCTCAGTTGGGAGAAACCTTTACCCAGGCCTTTCCTTGCAGCAGCCCTACAGACAGAGCCCTACTACAGCAAGCAGCGCTGTTTCCGGAAACTTGGTTTTAGAGTAGTCTGTCCAGTCCAGTCAAGAGGCCGGGGCAAGCCACTGGCGGCCTCTGGCAGCGCTCAGTCAGCTTGCGCCTGCCTGCTTGTCACTGCCCAGCGCTGCTTGCTTCTCTCCGCCAGCCAGGGTGCGGCACAGCTGCGTCGCCTCTTGCAACGCCTCTACGTGTTGAAAAGCTTCCAGCAGCAGGGCCTTCAACTGGGCGGTGTTGCACGGCGGCTGGTTCGGCAGCGCTCCAAAGAGTTCCACTTGCTTCAGCTGCGCCGCGGTGTCAAGCACCTGCTTGACGCAGCGGCCAAGTTGTTCTTTCAGCATGAGCGCCGTTGCGCTCTTGCTTCGAACTGCCAGGAAGACTCGCTCGGCTTGGTTGCGGGCTGTTGACAGCACAGCCTGGCACTCCTGCAGCTTGCCCTTCTCGAAGTCGCCGAGGGTCGGTGGCGCAGCGTCCGGGGCTGAAGAAGCGGCTGCAGCCTCGGCGTCTCCTGCACTCAGGTGCAGCTCCCAGTTGTTCACGTACTGGGAGAAGAGGTCGTTCACCANNAGGGGTCGAGGAAACGTCCGTGCCCTGGTCCAGGAGGTTCTCCTGGCGCTTCGCCTCCAGCTTCGTCAGGCTTATCTCCTGACTCAGTCGTACGTTCAATGCTGGCGCTGCAAGCAGTTCACACGTGCGCTCTTTGGGTCCGCGCGAGCGTACCCGCTGCGAAGTATGCAAGCACATGTAGTCCTTGAAGACGTAGTAGCGACAGCCACCCTCGTTCACCACGCTGGCTTCGCCAGTGGCGACAGCAGCTTTCAGCTGGGCCACGCCGCCGCACCTAGCTGCGGCTATCGTCTCAGTGACGCCCTTGCACTTGTTGGCTCCGATGGTCTCGGAGTACCTCTGGAGCCTGCGGCGCAGGTACTTGTTGTCGAAGTCGAGGACAAGTTTTCCTTTCTTTCTGACCACAAGTTTGTCCAAGAGCCTTGTTTGCTCTGTCCTCCCGGCTTTGTCCCAGAGGTCAAGCAAGTTTTGGGGAAGTTCGCCTGCGCTTCGCCTTTGGCGGAAGAAGCGCTTCTTTGAGCCGTCCCTCTTGGCCGGCCCCGCAGAGCTAGAGTCGTCCTGAGACTCCGCGTCGTCAGGCTCGGCGTCAGACAGGGTGTTGTCTGCAGTGGCCCAAGACTTCAAGGCTGCCACGCGCTCCTTGGGCTTGGCCTGCTTCGAGGAAGGCTTCGGGTCCTCCTTGTCGCCCTTGCCGAGCTTCTTCGTGGTCTTCGGCGCAGCGTCCTTCTGGTCCTCCGCAGCAGCGCCGTCAGCAGCGCTCTCAGCCTCGTTGTCGTCCTTCTTGGTGCCCACGACCTTCGCCTTCTTCGAGGGCTTCTCCTTCTCGGCAACCCTGGGCTTCTTGGCGGGCTTCTCCTGCTCCGAGTCGGCAGGCTTGGTCTTCTGGCCGGCTTTCTGCTGCTCTGGCTTCTTGGGCGGCTTCTCCTGGTCCACGTCGGCTTGCTTGGACCCAGACTTCACAGCCTTGTCGAAGTTTGCTTTGTTCTGAGCGGCCTTGCTCTTGCGAGCAGCAGCTTTGGCCTCGGCCAGCTTGTCCTTGCTGGCTTTCTTTTTCACAGCCGCAGTTTTCGGAGCAGCTTGGGCTTTGGCCTTCGCCTTCGCCTTCGGCTTCCCAACAGGCTGCGGCTGAGTTGCGTCGGCCTCAGAGCTCGTCGCTGCAGGCAGAGGCTCCAGGCTTTCGGAAGGCTGCTCAGAAGCCGCTTCTGTCGCCGATGCACTCTCCTCGAGAGACGTCTCAGGCGAGCCGTCCGGCTGCGTCTCCTGGGTCTGCGCAAGCGCCGCCTCGGCAGCCGCAGCCATGCTACGGCAGCAGAGTCGCAGGCTACGGCTCCTTTCTGGGCAGTGCTAGCTGCGCCGAGCAAAGAGAGAATCAAAGGCGCGAAGCTGAAAATACTGAATCAGGAAAGAAAATTTCGAGGAAAAATGTCCTGCCGATTCATTCCCGGCGAAAAATATTCCAGAACCGAGCCGAAAGCGAGCCGAAATCGAACCGAAAGCGAACCGAAACAGGACACCGATGGACCGAAAGTGAGCCAAAAGCGGGCCTAACGTGAGCCATAAGTGAACCGCAAGCGGTCTGCACCCAGCAAATGCGAGCCGAAAGCGAACCACAAGTGAACATGACACGGTTCTGTACATACAAGCGAGCCAAAACCGAGCCAAAAGCGAGCCGAAACCGAACCGAAACCGAACCAGAAGCGAGCCGACACCGAACCGAAACCGAGCCGAAAGCGGTCCGAAAGCGCGCCGAAAGCGAGCCGAAACCGTACCGGTAATTTGGCCGCCTGCGAGACTCTGACGGAAATTTCCGAAAAAGGAACCGACGCCGAACCGAAACCGACCCGAAACCGAGCCAAAAGCGAGCCGAATGCGAGCCCAAAGCGGACCGGTGATTTGGCCGCCTAAGAGATTGTGACCGAAATTTCCCAAACAAATTCTGAAAAATCTCTGCTTCCCCGTGCGACCTACAAGCAAGAGCTGGGCGAGACCTAAAGGAAAGTTGCCGCGCGCGAGACAAGCCCGCGGCGACGCCGAAAACAAAGGCAGACGCAGGCAGCCACAGAGAACCCTGCAAGCAAGGGGTCTCAGAACCCTGAGGGAAACTTGCCGCGCGCGAGACAAGCCCGCGGCGACGCCGCGCACAAGCAGACAAACGCAGAGGCAAAGGCAGGCAGACAGGCAGAGGCACCAGCGAACCGCGCGACTCAGAGCCGCTGCGACAAAAGTTTCAAGAAGGCAGTTGCGAGCGCGCACCTTCATCCGCGCGACTGCTCATCGCTGCGAGCAAGGCCGGGACATTTTTCAGCTCACAGGCCCCCTCGTCGTTTAAACACTCCCTCCTGTCTCTGCTGGGCCCTACGAGAAACTTTCGCGACCGCTTTTGGGTCCGCAGGCTTGGGGGCAGCCTTGTTCGAAGCCTTCAGGGCTGGTCGCTTTGCTCGCCCAGAGTCGTCACCTGAGCGCACTTGCAAGACTTGCACGCTTAGTTCCGCGAGCTCCTAAAACTAAAGCGCGAAACTGCCCAGGCCATCACCAAGCGACGCCTTGGCTTTTGCGTCAGCCTTTGGAGGCGGCGGCCCCACAACTCCTGCGAACTGGTTCCTAAACCCTAGACCCTACACCCTAAACCCTAAACCCTACACCCTAAACCTTATAAACCCTAAACCCTAAACCCAAAAACCCGCGCGAGCAGAAATCCCGCAGCGAGAGCAACACAGGGAGGCAGACAGCAAACCCTGGCGCGAGCTACTACTGCCCGCAGCCGGCACAAGTCCTGCAGGAGGCGCCTTCGCATTCGGCGCAGGCGCTGCTCCTGACAAGGAATCGATGCAAAGCGCTGGCATGAATGTGACTGCAGTGCCGCAGTCCCGCGCCGTGACCTTGAGGCTGCTCAGCTTTGCCTGCCAAGTGGTCACATGATTACAAGGAGACTGGGAAACAAGCAGATGCCTGCCGGAACTCGAGCAGATGCGTCTCCTGATGGATAGCTTCGAGAGTTTGGTGCCCTCAACTTGCGAGCGGGCCTCCAGCTTGCCCAGACTTCGCAGAGCTGGCGGGCTCTCCTGACAAAAGAATCATCACTGTAAAATTTGCAAATGCCCTGACGTGGAAAAAAAAAGGTCCTTCGGAAGCAGCCGGGATTCCGGCCGCCCCTCCTTCAGCAAAGAAGATATAAGCAAAGCAACGCAAGCAGCGGCAGCAGGCAGCCTGCTTTGGCAGCGCCTGGCGCTCCTCCAGGCGGTACAAAGCATATCGCACTGCAACTTATTCTCTAAAATTTCTTCGCAGTCCTTCTCCACATTCCAGGCCGCGCCCCAGCTCAGCCAGCGCAGCCACATCACCTGGTTTTCAGAGTTTAGGATCTAGGGTTTAAGGTTTAGGGTTTAGGGTTTAGGGGGGTTTTTAGGGTTTAGGGTTTAGGATTTGACATGCACTATTTTCAAGAGCAACCAAGGAGCAGGGATGAGGCATGCTTGGCGGGGGCGGCAGGGGCAAGGTATGCCACGGTCGCATCGGCATGAAGCCGAAAGGGAGTCCTGAATCACAAGAGAAGATATGATTTTCGAACGCTTCAGCAGCACAGCGCGTCCTGGTTGGGGCTGCAGGATCACGGAAGGCGCCGGTCCTGTCATTTGACATGTACTTTACTTAGAGATCAGAGGTTGGCGCGCAGCTGGCCTGGTGGCAGAGTTCCTGGCACCGTTGCCATCATCGGTCTTGTCGATGCCTGCAGGATGCAGAACACAATCCGAAGCCAGCGATGCTGCTCGCAAGGAGAACCTGTTCTGCCGCCATCGGCGCAGGTGCTGCCGTGGGCGCAGCTGGTGCCGCAGGCGCAGCTGGCGCCGCTGGCGCAGCAGCGCCAGGAACCGCCTCGCGGATAACAATGCTGATGACCATTCCCTGCTCTGCACAAACATGGCGAGAGCCCGTTGCTCCGTCGAGGACTTTGCCTTGTCCGCCTCTGTCTGCGGAGCGTCCTCCTCGCCGGCAGCCTGATCAACTTGAAGGCCCAGACGCACGAACGAGACCCCCTTGGTCGAGGCCTCGGAAGCCAACGGCGCAGGCGGCTCGTCCTGCCGCAAGTATAATACAATGATCTTTTGCCGCGCGTACTACAAGAGCATGTCTCCTCCTTGGAAGACGTTTCCTCGTCTGAGGCAGCGGTTTGCTCCAGGCCCTGCCGGAAAACGAAATTTTTAGCTTATTGTTTTCGGTGCAGACCTACAACGCGCCGGCCTTGTTCTCTTTCTCTTCCACTTCTTTCTCTTCCTGACAGCTGTAGCATAAAAATTCACTAGGAAACGACGCAAGGCAGCACGAACCGGCCTCCCGTGCACTGCCACTGTCAGCGCTCGGGCTCTTTGTTCGAGCTTTTTTTTTCTTCTCTTTCTCTTCTTTTTTTTCTTTTTTTTTCCTTCTTCTTCTTTACGGCCGACGACGAGCTGGAGGCGCTGCTGTTGTCGGTCCTCACTTTCACCTCCAGGCGAAGGACCGTCCTCCACTTGCCCATGGCTGGGCCGAGCCTACCTCCCGCTTTTGCGCCAGTGGCAGCAGCGAAATACAAACGTTAACACTGCGCACGTCGCAAGCTAACCCGCCAACGTGGTGAAAGTCGCGAGCGAACCCGCAGACCTTGCAGCCTGCAGGCAGAAAAAAAAAAGTCGCGAGCGAACCCGCAGACCTTGCAGCACGCACGCAGAACAAAACGTCGCGAGCGAGCCCGCAGACCTTGCAGCATGCAGCCCTCAAACAGAAGCACTGCAGAAGCATGCACGGCAAATCGGATTTTGGCGCCCCCTCGCCAGCTATCTGTTTGCCCGTCCGCAGCGCGGCCTCAGAGACGGGTTCAGTCGCCCAGCTGCTGCGTGGTCTCGGTGTCGGAGTCCGAGTGAGACGCGTAGCGCCGAGCAAGTTCCAGCGCGATCCACAACCTGCGAAGGAGCAGCCGCAGGTGACGGGCTGAGTCGACTTCAGGACTTGGTTCTTCCACAGGAGGCGGCGTCCACTCCAACTCCGTCCTTCGCCGCTTAGGTGGCGGAGTCACTGGCGCATCGCCCTCTTGCCCACTCATGTTGCCCTTAGAAGCCTTGACCGCTGGGAAACTGCGGATAAAGCCAGTCCAACTTGCAACTAGCAGAAGGCAGGCCAGCACGTAACACGCGTGCATCATTTTGTAACGAAGCGCGCAGGACGCGCTCCGAAGTGTCAGCATCCCAACTCCAAGTTCCTAGTCCCCAACGCGCTTGCTTGGCGCAGCCTGCTTGCGCGCGCGTTTACGCGCGGGCTTCTTGCAGCAGGCCAAAAGAGCAGTTTGCTCTTCGCAAACAGCGACGGCAACCTCTGCCTCGCACAACACGTCCGTGTCCTTGAGCTCCGCCTGCGCCGTGAAGCTGGACTCGTGCTTGTCCGGCGAGTCCTCCACCAACTCCACAGAAGCGGCCAAGACCTCCAGTTCAGGCTCCAGCAACGGCTGAGCAGACTGGCTATCTTCCAGCTCGTCCAGCGGATTCCCGGACAGGCAGTCCTTGTCCTCACCGCCAGGCTTCTTGCACTGCTGAAAGTGGACCCTCAGATCAGTAACGCGCATGACCTGCTGGGAAAAGCATGCAGATAAAAAATGAAAGCTAGCCAAAACATCTAAGAAAAAATGCTTCCAGCTCTTGGGACCTCAGAGTTCTCACCAGTCCCAAGCAGGAGCTTGTACGTGCTGGAGTCTTCCACGTCAGCACGAACGCGGGCAGGCTTCTTGAGGCGGGCGCGCCGGCCCATCTCTAGACCGCCAAGTTGCGAGACGGAACCAGAGCCAAAAGTGGGCTGCAACCAAAAACTGCTTCAGACGCTCAGA